AAGGAAGAAACTCCAGACACACCATCTTTAAGAACTGTAACACTCACCACGAGGGTCTGCAGCTTCATTCTTAAAGTCAGTGAGACCAAGAACCCACCAATTCCGGAAACATGACTTCATGGAGGGTCTGAATCCTGAAGCCACTGAGGAAAAGATCAGGGAGTACTTCGGCGAGTTTGAGGAGACTGAGGCCATTGAAATTCATTGGATCCAAAGTTTAACAAAAGACAAGATTTTGTGTTTATTACCTTAAAAAAAAAAATCTGTGAAGAAGGTTCTGGAGAAAAAGTTCCATACTATCACTGGAAGCAAGTGTAAGATCAAGGTGGCCCAGCCCAAAGAAATTTCCTGGCAGCAGCGGTATGGTTCTCGGGGCTGTGGAAACCACAACTGAGGTAACAAGGCAGCGGAGGTGGTGGTGGAGATGGAGGTGGAGGTGGAGGTGGAGGTGGAGGTGGAGGTGGCGGTCGCGGTCAGGGTAGTACAAACTACAGCAACAGGCAGTGACATGGTGGCCCTCAGAATACCTGCAAGCCATACTGAGACAGCAGCAGGAGAGACCAACCAATCACACACATGCTGTGTTTGGATATGGAGTGAACACAATTATGTACCAAATTTAACTTGACAGACTTTCTAGGCTTGTCCCATGTGCATCTTATTTAAAATTTTCCACACGGAAATCACTCTCTTGTTTACTATTTCCAGAGCTCTAGTTATTTAGGCAGCGTGTGGCATCTGAGAGGCTGGAGGGGCATTACTGGCTGATTTTTAGTACCAGGTCCTCCAGAACAAAATGGCAGTCTTTGCTTCCTGTTGCCGCATGCTGCAGCCTGGACCTGTGGGCCCTGGTTGTACAGAGTATATTGTATCTCAGGAAACCAGTGTCACCTTTTAATTTTATATTATTTATGTCATACACTGCCAGTAATGGAAGGGTTAATTTTACTGTACTTTTTAGTACCTTTGGGGAATCTAATGTAACATATTTTACACGTGTCCTGATTTTGCCACAACCTGGGTATCGAAGCTATCCAAGCATTTAAAATAAAACATTAACCCCCCGCCATAAAAAAGCCAAATACTTAACATCCAACTGATCTTTGTTGAAGCATGCAAAAACATAAACCTATTTAATAAATGATGCTGAAAAGACTGGCAAGCCACATGTAGAAGAATGAAACTGGATCCCAATCTCTCGCCTTACACAAAAATCAACTCTAGATGGGTCAAAGACTTAAATCTAAGAACTGAAACCATAAAAATCACAGAAGGTTACATTAGAAGAACTCTTCTGGACATTAGCCTATGCAAAGAGTTTATAACTAATACTCCAAAAGCAAATGCAACAGAAATGAAAATAAATAAATGGGACTTCATGAAACTAAAAAGCTTCTGCACAGCAAAATAAATAATCAGAGTAGACAACCCACAGAATGAGACAAAATATTTGCAAACTATGCATCCAACAAAGGACTAATATCCAGAATCTACTAGGATCTCAAATCAGTAAGAAAAAAAAAATCCCATCAAAATGTGAGCAACGGACATACGTAGATATTTCTCAAAAGAAGATATACAAACATGAAACAATGCTCAACATTACTAATTATCAGGGAAGTGCAAATTAAAACTACAGTGAGATACCATCTTACTCCTACAATAATGGCTGTTATTAAAAAGTCAAAAAAAACGATAGATGTTGGCATGGATATGGTGAAAAGCAAATGCGTATACACTGCTGGTGGGAATGTAAATTAGTACAACCTCCATGGAAAACAGTACGAAGATTCCTTAAAGAACTAAAAGTAGATGCACCATTCAATCCAGCAATCCTGCTACTGGGTATCTACCCCAAAATAAGTTGTTGTATATGGAAAAGACACTTGCACATGTATGGTTATAGTAACAGAATTCACAATTGCAAAGATATGGGACCAACCTAAGTGCCCATTAACCAATGAGTGGATAAAGAAAATGTGGTATATATACACCATGGAATACCACTCAGCCATAAAAAGTAATGAAATAATGTCTTTTGCAGTACCTTGGTTAGAGCTGGAGGCCATTATTCTAAGTAAGTCAGGAGTGGAAAACCGAAAACTGTATGTTCTGACTTACAAGTGGAAGCTAAGCTATAAGTAGGCAAATCCATACAGAGTGATGTAATGACTCAGAAGCAGGAGGTGAAAAGGGAGGGGGAGAGATTAAAAAAACTACATATTGGGTACAATGTACACTACTCAGGTGACTGACAGGTGCATTACAAACAGAATTCACAACTATATAATTCATCCATGTAACCAAAAACCTCTTGTACCCCAAAAGCTATTGAAATAATACATAAATAAAAATAAAAATACCTTCCTGTTGCACAGTGCCTTGTAAGAAGTAGGAAATCAAAAATTGTTTGTTTGCATTGGGTTGGATATCAGAGAGCCATATAAAAGAGAAGGTAGTCAAAATTGCGAAGATGAAGTTATGTAAAGCCCATATGTGACTAAAACAGAGATAGAGGGTTAAAAATTACAACAGCTGGGATCAGAAAGAAAGGCACTTAGGAGGTGCCTGTAATTATGATTCTCATAAAATAGCAATTAGAACTATTTACCAAGCTTCGGTTATTCAAGTATATTACTAATAATTTTTGATAATCAACCTATAGTAACATTTATACTACTTTTCCTTGAAAGTTTTTTTTTTTCAAAAATAAGAATATTTTTGACTATCAACTGTATGGCAAGTACTATTCTCAGACTCTTGGATACATCCATGTACGGCAAAGCTGTCAGCCCTTTTAGAGACTATATTCTATGGGGAAAAACAGATGATACATAAGAAAGATAATAAGTATCAGTCTGGTGTAAAAGTAATTGCGGTTCTTGCCATTACTTTCAATGGCAAAAACCGCAATTTTGCACCAACCTAATAAGTAAATAGTACAGTATATTAGACTATAATAAATGCTATGGTAAATAAACAGAGGTAAGGGAGATGAAGAATGTAGGGAGAAAGGGTTGGTAACTTTAGAGTTATCTGAGTAAGTATCATTAAGAAGCTCATGTTTGTGCAGAGATGGGAAGTAGATGAGAGACCACGTCCTGCAGCTTTGTCAGGTAAGAATCATTCAGGTAAAGGAGATAAGAATCACCAGTACCTTGAGGTGGAAGCATGCCTGACATGGTTGAGAAACAACAGAGAAGCCAGCGTCCTGAGTGCAATGAGTAAAGATAAAGGAAGTAGGAGTTTAGCTCAAAGAGGACCAGAATATGTAGCTTCTTATAGGTAATTACAAAGGTATTTCATTTTGGAGTGGTTTTGTTTTTACTCTGAGATACATGAGAAGTTGATGAGAATTTTCAGTAGAGAACCGACATGATTTTATTTAAATGTAATGGCCTCACTCTGATTTGTTTGAAAATAGACTGTAGAGGACAAGGGTGAAGGCTCAGACACTACTTCAAAAATTATTGCTGTAATCCAGACATGTGAACATGGTGGCCCCTCAGCATGTCTCCTGGTGTGATCATTACTCATCTCGAAATTAACTTTTCAACTGAGGTTCAGCTAGCAGCTATTTCACTTTTTCTGTCTCTTGGAAAAGTGTGTATGTTTTCTGTTTATTCACATATATTTCCATATAAGCTGTGATATAAACGTATCTCAACACGTCAGGTACTCTTTGTCTTGCACAACCTAGAGCAATCTTACTTTACACCCTCACTTTCATGATAACTCACGTCATGGGTTAGGTTGCCTGGCCTGTCCTAGATTAGTACAGCTGGATCTTCAGCATCCAGTTATTTACCTTGATTACCATAATTTCTTGACTCATTCACTATATCCTGAGGACCTGGGAGGAATGAATCAAAGCAAAACCAAAATTAAAATACTAGGTATCTCTTCCAAACTCCATCCTAAGCCTTAACTACTTAAAACAGTTAACCATACTTATGTTCTCAGCCTGATCTATCTCTTCCTTTTCTTTTATGTTTATTATACATTACATCATTTATTTATTTATGTATTTATTTTTAATTATACTTTAAGTTCTGGGATACATGTGCAGAATGTGCAGGTTTGTTACATAGGTATACATGTGCCATGGTGGTTTGCTGCATCTGTCTATCTCTTCCCTTTCTACATTTTTTTAAATAATGAAAACACAAATTTGCATATTAAACAACAATAGTAAACCTCACAAAAATCTTTACCTTCTCTTAGGTGTTTTAAATTTTTTAGATCTCAAATTAATGCTTTAATATCAAAATATCTACTGTAAATATCCACTCCACCCATACCAAATTCATCATCATTTTTGGGGAGAGGGCAAATTGTGATAGGGATTGTGACACACAGGCACATAATTTAGGGGCCAGGGGTTTTTTAATAAGAGGTTTTTTTATTGAAATGAAATGCACATAACATAAAAACAGCCATTTTAAAGTGAATAATTTAGTGACATTGGTACAATTTCTTTTCACATATTAATCAACATTAGAGGACTATAAATGCCTCACCAGTAATATAGAAATATCCATTGGAAATAAAAATAGCACCAGTGGGAAAGTATGAAAAAAAATAAGACAAATCAGCACATCAGGAAATACAGTTTCATTCCAATAATACCATTTTACAGTAATTAATGAAAAAAGTCAAAATTATAAAACAGTACATCACAAAACTAATAAAACATGTTTCATATTCCAAAATGTTAACACTTGTTCCAATGAGACTGGTTACTTTTTTATATTCATCATCAGATTTTATGTATTTCTATGTATTTTTGTATTTAAAAAGCAGAAAACTTTCCTATGAGAGCAGTTTCCCTACAATTACATATTATACAAGATTCTATTAGAGATACGGCAGACGTACTCTCTGGGTTATTTAACTGATAAAGAAAAAGTAGGAGTTCCTGCTTTTTAAAGATGATAATCATAATTATGATCAGATCAATGAAAATAATAAAATTGCTCTGATTGTGGTGAAGATTTTTTCCCATTTCTTCATTTAGCTATTCAGAAATATATTTCACCCTCAGTTCATATCTGATATACTGCTAGAAGTTGAGGGTCAAATCATGGCAACATACCATGCGCATCAATGGCATTGTTGAGCACAAAAGCAACTCTGATGGAGCCAGAAATTAAGACTTGCTTATGGTTTACCCCAGGTAAATGCCAAATCAATGGCAGAATGAAAATTCAAGCTTGGTGCCAGGTGTGGTGGCTCACGTCTGTAATCCCAGCACTTTGGAAGGCCAAGATGGGCAGATCACTTGAGCCCAGGAGTTCAAGACCAGCTTGGTCAACATGGCAAAATCCAGTCTCTACAAAAACACACCAAAAATTAGCCTGGTATGGTGACATGCACCTGTAGTCCCAGCTACTTGGGGGGGCTGAGGCAAGAGATGGCTGCAGTGAGCCGAGATTGTGCCACCGCACTCCAGCCTGGATGACAAAGTGAGACCCTATCTCAAAAAAAAAAAAAAAAAAAAAAAAAAATTCAAGCTTAGCTGCCCTGATTCCATGTCTAGGGATTTAGCACGTAGAACAATAACACTGGCCTACCTGTAGGTCGACAAATACAGAAATCACAGCCTCTCCCTTCAATTTCTTGGTTAAGATTACAGTTTGCCAAGCTCACTAAACATTTTCTGCATTTATTTTGACCTCAGCTGTTACTCTTCTCTGTTCCTTTTTCTGTCCACCTTACTAGCTCACATATTTCTCTTTCCTCCTCCACTCTTCCCCTTACATTGAAAACTTCTTCTCACAAATACTATATGAAGGCACACTACACAGTTGGTCATAAATGACTGATACATGAATCCATACACAATTTGGAGATGGGTTTTCTTGGGTAGCTGTGGTTCTGATCTGAAATCTGTTAAAATAGAATACAGTGAGGTAATTAGAACAAATGTTAAAGAATACCGTCTACAGGACGCTCAAATAAATTAGTAAGGATATCGGTGAAAAGATTTTTGAAGTGTTTCTATTATTGGAAAAGGAAGCTTAAATCTAAATTGTTGTGAATCTCAAGTGGTTAAATGAATAGTCTCCATTATTAAGGCAGAAAAATAACTTAATTTTTTCAAGAAATACTACTAGCTGCATAAACTTAAAAAAAGTTCCTGACAAAGAAGGAAAATTATTTAATATTCTATAAAAAGTTCTTTATATATCTTTCAGCCTATTACTTAAATGTTTCTTTATCAAACAACAGTTTAATGAAATTATTACTGGATATACTTAATGAATAGACCAAGCAGAAGTATTAATGCTGAAAGGGATCTAGAACTGAAAAAGAATCAGAGATGCCCAGGCCATTTAAAGGCAGCGCAAACAACTCTGCATATTTTAATGTATCCTGGAAGGAGAATTACATTACAATACAATGCTTGATAGTTATGGAAATCAGCACTGGTAAATAGAAGTATGGTCCTGTTCAATTCAGTCTTCAGTCTCCTGAAGCAGCAGTGTTAATTAGTCAAGCTCAAAGGGCATCACTGAGCCTCAGTGCAAAAGCTATGACTTGGCACTCTTTGTCCTGGGTATCTATCTCTCCTTCTTGACCCTGAGGTTGGAAGACTGAGAAAACTTTGCTTTAGAGATGACTAAGGCTAAGATTAACTACTTAGATTCAGACCTCAGGGAGAACTCTGACCAGCATTATTCCTTCAAAATTTCCCTTGATCTCTAAGTGTTTTGGGGGCATAGACACAGCTAGATTAAATAAATGCCACCCAGAAAATCAAAGACTAGTAACATAAACATATCAAAATGTTAACTTGGGCCTGCTTGTGATTACAGAAAGAGTCCTCTAGCCATACATTTAAAATAGCAAAAGAAAATTCAAGACAAACAAGTGCTATAAAAAAGTAGAAAATACATTTGGCTGATTGTTAATAAATTCACTGTACATAGCCTAGTAGAAGTAAAACAGTTAAGTGATTATACTCGGCTGTTTGTACTGTTCACACTATTGGGTGAACAGACCTGGTGGTGAGAACAGAGGCAAATGAAAAAACACTTCAAATTAATTCTGCAAAGATTTTAAGATACAATGTTAACAACTCTATAAAAAGCAATCTGACATAAAAGAAAACTAATCAACACAAAACAAAAATAGGAAAAAAAAACAGAAACAGATACATATAGGAAATTGGAATTATTAGACACAAGCTAAAACAACTATGGTTAGTGTATTCTGAAAGTTAAAAGATAATACTAAGAATGTTGGAAGAAAAAATAGAAGTATAAGTGTTGAAATAATAGATTTGAGAAAGAACCGAACTAAAATTATAAAACTGAAAATGTCACCAAACAAAATAAAAAACTTAATAGAGGCATTTAACAGTAGATTAGTCACAGATGAGAAAAAATAGATGAACTGGAAGATATGTGAAAGGTAATTACATAGATTGGAGCAAAAAGCTAAAACAGAATGAAAACACAGGAAAAAGCAAAAGAAACATATAGGATGGTGTCAACGGGTCTGTAATGAATGTAACTGAGATTCCAGGAGAAGGGAAAAAAGATGGGTCAAAGCAAAATATGAAGCAAGTATGGTTGAGAATTTTTCAGTAACATGTATTACCTTCAAACAGATGACCTCTCAAAAACAACAATAAAAAATAGAAAATAGTGGAATAATATATTTGAGTGGCTGAGAGAAGAAACAACCAACCTCTAATCTTATACTTATTGGAAATATCAGCCTTAAGAAAAAATACCTGAAATGTGCAGTTGGAAAGGAAGAAAGAAATAAATAAAATCATAAATATGTGGGCAAATTGAAATGAATACTAGTGCATAAATCTGCTGTGCACCACCATTTCTAATTTTTGTGTGTGTGTTTTTTTTTGTTTTGTTTTTTGTTTTTTTTTTGTAGAGATGCGGTTTCACCATTTTGGTCAAGCTGGTATCGAACTCCTGACCTCAAGTGATCCGCCCACCTCGGCCTCCCAGAGTGCTGGGATTATAGGCGTGAATCACTGTGCCCGGCCCAAGGGCTATTTTTGTTTGTTTGTTTTAGACTGAGTCTGGCTCAGTCACCCAGGCTGGAGTGCAGTGGCGCGATCTCAGTTCACTGCAACCTCCCGGGTTGAAGCAATTCTGGTGCCTCAACCTCTGAGTAGCTGGGATTACACGCGCAGGCCACCACACCTAGCTGGAGGCGTAGCTGTAGTCCCAGCTACTCTGGAGGCTGAGGTGGGAGAATCACTTGAACCCAGGAGGCAGAGGTTGCGGAGAGCCAAGATTGCACCACTGCACTCCAGCCTGGGAGATAAAATAAAAATAAATAAATAAAAATAAATACATTAATATAATAGCATATAAATGGAGGAGGGAGTCAACAGAGTAAAGGAATGCTCTATGATTTTTATATTGGTCAGGAAGTACATAAAAATGTCAGTTAATATTAGTCTTTGATGAGTGAAGTATACATGTGTAATTCCTAGGAAAAGTACTAAAAGATTAGTAAAAGAGATGTAAAAGACACGAAAGAGCACATTACAAATGAAAAGAAAAAAAAAATAAGAAAAAGTGTTAAATCAGTCCAAAAAGGAGGAAAGAAAGGGAAAAAAAGTAACAATTCTACAACTTTATGTGCCTGATAACACGGCTTCAACACATCGAATCAAATGTTTACAGAACTATAAGTAGAATCGCAGCAGAAGATTTCAACACAATTCTTTTCATATGGAAAGAGGAAGAAGCACGTAAAAATCAGAGAGCTACAAGCACGTGGAGCATGTTCTCTGCTCACAGTGGAACTAAGCCTGAAACCTAAAACAAAGAGATAACTGGAAACACGTATGTTTGTAAATTAAGAAATACATTTCTAAATAACTCCGGAGTCAAAGAGCAACTCACAGTGGAAATCAGAAAGTATTTTGAACTGAATGACAATGAAAATACATTAAAATTATAGCCTTTAAATCTACATACTTGAGATAAAGGAAGGCTTAAATTCATGAGTCAAGCACCCAATACAAGAAGTTTGAGATGGAATAGCAAATTTAAAACAAATAAATTAGGTCAGGAGATTGACACCATCCTGGCTAACACGGTGAAACCCCGTCTCTACTAAAAATACAAAAAATTAGCCAGGCGTGGTGGTGGGAGCCTGTAGTCCCAGCTACTTGGGAGGCTGAGGCAGGAGAATGGCATGAATCCAGGAGGCAGAGCTGGCAGTTAGCTGAGATCGCCACTGCACTCCAGCCTGGGCAATAGAGCAAGACTCTGTCTCAAAAAAAAAAATAAAATAAAAATAAATTAGATGGAAGGAAGTAATACAGACTAGAATCAAAGTTAATGAAAGAAATAATAAAAAGAGGCAGAGTCAACAAAGTCAAAAGTTATTTTCTTTGAAAAACTAAATCAAACCATACTCCTACTGAGATGAAAAAACACACACAGGTGTGCACACACACACACTAATAATAAGAACTTAAAAGGGACATATTTCATATTCTGCAGATATTAAAAAGCAAATGAATGACAACTGCAGTGACAAAGACCAACACATAATAAGGAATAATGTATAATCGTGCGAATGTGAAATACGTTTAAAATATCTTTTTAAAATGCAAAATGTGAAAATGTGGTTGCTTTTTAACTTAATAATATCGCTCATTAACTACGTACAAGACACTGTGCTAAATTATTTTACTTTTATACCCATCTCACAATTCTAAGAGGAAAGTACTCTTTCTTTCTTTCTTTCTTTTTTTTTTTTTTGAGTTGGAGTCTCACTGGAGTCTCACTCTGTCATCCAGACTGGAGTGCAATGGTGCAATCTCAGCTCACTGCAACCTCCATCTCCCGGGTCAAAGCATTTCTCCTGCCTCGGCCTCCCGAGTAGCTGGGATTTCTGGCAAATGCCACCACACCTGGCTCATTTTTTAGTGAAGATGGGGTTTCACCATGTTGGTCAGGCTGGTCTCAAACTCCTGACCTCAAGTGATCCACCCACCTGGGCCTCCCAAAGTGCTGGGATTACAGGTGTGAGCCACGGCACCCAGCCAAGAGTAACTTTCTATTCTTGTTTATGGAAAATGAAACTCATAGAGGAAAAGTGACTTATCCCCAATGTCACATGATCAGTGAGTGGGGTAATCATTAACCCAAACTGAGGTCTGGCTTCAAAGCCCATGTTCTTAACCAGGGGGTTACACTGACTGACAGTGACTGCACCTTGCCTGGACAACTTCAAACATGTTGGATGCCTCCCTGGTAAGAAAACTAGAAAAACAGCTGTGTTGATGCTGCTAGATGGCCTCACTCCTTTTCACTCTAAGGTTCTCCTCATCTTTCTCCTTGTGTCGTAGCTCACTATTTCTCTTCTTCTATATCTTTCTCTCTCTCTTTCTCATATATAGTCAGCAAATCAGGTTCTTAACTGCTTGACAGAGGTTTTCATAGATGAGGTGGAAACCTCTCTGAGAAAGAGGATGAAGCATTGTCTCTCCAAACACTTACAGGTTAGAAGAGAATGTTGATCCATCCTCCCAGAGCCATGGTACCTCAGTCTGGGGCCGAGAAAGGCCTATCCAAAATGAATTATCAGGTTGGGAAGACACTTGTTTTACTATAAATCCCTGAAACAAAACATATACAAATATATAACAGAGAGAGAGAGAGAGAGAGACCATTATCATGGACACTGAGAAAAAGACAGCTGATCGAATCACTTTGGTAAAGAATGCATGCCTAACCTGACATCAACCTGTCATTGAATGTTTCAAAAGGCCTATCTTATTTATTTAAAGTAATTATCATTTAATTTTCCAAAAGAATAGATTTATAATGTGAAGATTGTACTGCCTCCATTCAACCTATCTGACAAAATCCCAGATGACAGGCCCCCTAGGCAGTTTTCATGGATGATTAGCCATTGTCTTCTCCAATTGAAGAAATAAATTGATGCTACTTTTGTTAAGAAATATTTCTCAGAGTTAGATAAAAACTTAAAAATGATTTAGTCCAACGGCATATTTTATGAATAAGTAATCTGAGATTCAGCGAAGATATCTGAATTGTTTACAAATCTCTAACAATTTATTTTCAATTATAGGCTGGCCTAAAAGTCAGATAGACTTGTAACCCAATACTCTTTCTTTGCCATACATGTAGTTCCATTAACTTTAATATAAATTATTACTACTGAGTAAGGCATTACAGAAACAAAAACAAAATGAGAATAGTGAGAGTAGATGTAGAAGTTATAGACTGGTTTAGATTTATAATGTAGAATGTTTCCTGTAAACACCTTCTCGTACCTCATCTAAGCTCTACCCTTCATTCAAGTGCCACTTTTTCTGAAAACTTCTTAGGAACACGGGGATCTCTTTAAACTCCTATAGCATTTATTGCCAATGCCAGATATTTAACTTTTAATAGCTTCTGAGTTGCTTTTTTTTTACTTAAAAGATTGCATGTGTCCTGTGATAGCAGGGTTATTTTTTTTTTTTTTTTTGAGACGGAGTCTCACTCTGTCTCCCAGGCTGGAGTGCAGTGGCCCGATCTCGGCTCACTACAGCCTCTGCCTCCTGGGTTCAAGCGATTCTCCTGCCTCAGCCTCCTGAGTAGCTGGGACTACAGGCATCCACCACCACCCCTGGCTAATTTTTGTATTTTTAGTAGAGATGGGGTTTCACCATATTGGCCAGGCTGGTCTTGAACTCCTGACCTTGTGATCCGCCCGCCTCAGCCTCCCAAAGTGCTGGGATTACAGGCGTGAGCCACCGCGCCCGGCCAGCAGGGTTATTTTTTAACCCTCTTTGCCTTTCCCAGTATCTTGCAAAGAGTAAATAATTTCTAAACATATATTATCATTGTTGCCATTTTCTTGATAATTATGATGACAAGGAGGAGAATTTTCTACTTCACCAAATTTAACAATTGAAATACAAATGCACAAAAATGGGTAATGGCCTGATTATTGCAGTCATGCATACATGGAGTGTGTTTGAAAGGATTTGTTTTAAGGTGAAACACAATTTTTTTTTTAATTAGTTAAAAATAAATAAATAAAATTAGTTAAAATAAAAATAAAAGTATATACTATGCACTTTATGTGCTTAAGGCATGCTATGATTATAATTATAGAGATATTAAAAATGACTTTTGGCCGAGTGTGGTGGCCTCCACCTGTAATCCCAACACTTTGGGAGATCAAGATGGGCAGACCGCTTGTGCCCAGGAGTTTGACACAAGCCTAGACAATATGGAGAAACTCCATCTCTACGAAAAATACAAAAAAAAAATTAGATGAGCATGGTGGTGTCCCCTCTAGTCCTAACTACTCAGGAGGCTAAGGTGGGAGGATCCCTTGAGCCTGGGATGTCGAGGCTTCCTGGTACTCCAGCTTGGGCAACAGAGTGAGACTCTGCCTCAAAAAAAAAAAAAGACTTCATTTTAGGAAAAATTGTCATTACCTGGAATCTCCCTCTATTTTCCTTCTGGATACAGACCACAGATAATTACAACAGAAGTTTACACTTACCAATTCCTTTGAGCTGTCTATCTTTATGAGATTAGAGCCCAGTTGCGAGCATTGTCTTTTACTTCCATCCCAGGAATTTAGTGATGGGCTGAATAGGTAACAGCTCTTCTCATATATAATCCAATTAGGAGGACAAGGGCTGGAAAGAACCCCTGGAAATAAAAGATTAGTACCATGAGGTTCATAGCACACCAATTCACTCTTTTAGTATGAACACCATTCATCTTAAGGACACTTATGAAAAAACCAATGAGTTGCCATTATTATATTTCATTTTCAATTCAAACTACAGTGATATGATTTTACAGATGAGAATACATTCAAATCTTCCTATTCATTTAGAATTTAAAAATGAATTAGCTATAAATAATATTTTAGACAGCCAGCTATCCTTTTTTTCTTGATTTGTCTTCTATTCCTTCTAATTTAGCTCAAAACTACCTTTCTCCTTAATAACTCCTTAAAATAATTCTACTCACAATCAATCATTGAGGTACACAGCAATTTCATATTGCTACTTAACTTATTTTATGATGTAAGATCTACTTTAGAATGTGACTTTCCAAATGAAAAAAGTATAGGTCAGCTATTCATATTACACACTATCTCTCTTATATGTTATTAGCTACTTAATAAAAATACTGAGGAGGTATGGGTCCAGAGATGAAAAACTGAAGTGAAAACATTAAGTCATAGTCAATTATGATGCAATTAGAAGTAAAGGTCAAGTATATATAGAATTGTAATTAAGTAAATGAAATTATATGATTAAACAAATTTGATGAGTTTTTGGGAACATGTGTATTAGGTCTACCTCTTTTGTATATTTTTAATATAGCTTCTTTATTCTTGGCAACATTTTCCCTTCTTTCCTTTCTCCCTGTCATTCTTCCTTTCTAATGTCATATTTCCTATTCTAACTGTATCGCATTAAAAATATCAATTCTGTAAGGGGAGAGAACACTTTTCTTTTATTTGTATCAAATTATATGATCTCCTGTAGATCTAAGCACATAGCCAGTGATAAATCGGTTACTGATTTTAAAAATTAATAAAGTCCAATTTAGAACTGTTCAGCCATGTGCATAGAGTACTTATAATTTCACCTTATTGTATATATGACAGGGATATATTACACTAAGTTAATACTAATATGTGTGCTTGCCTTAAATGTACAATCATTGAATCTAAGCATATTTTCCTTACACCCCTGCCCCAGGCCTCAGCACCAACAATTAACCCTCTTGAATCAAGATTCCATCCTTTAACTATGCCCTTGCCTGTGGTTTTGACAGCTTTGGTAGGAGTCACACTCTCTTCTAAAGGTGATTGTGTGGGTTGACTGTGGTTCTCTTTATTTCTTGATGGAAAGTAGCCATTCTCCAATGAGTTGCTTCCTGAATTGGGTCTCCAAATAGCTTCATATACCAACAACAATAATAGCGACAGAAAAAAAGTCATTCTTCTATGTTTGAAAATGAAAATCCCGAAACCCATATGTTATTGGAATAAAAGAATACATTATTGATTAATGATAAATAGATGATATATTGCTGTGGAGAAGTAAAGATGATTGATAGAATAGATGAAAAGAAATAAATAACTTTCATAACGGAGGTATAGTTAAAAAAAAAAAA